TCCCCTTTGGGTTTGCATCAGCTTAATGTTTTGAGGCCTAGGGCTTAGGGTTTAGGGTTTAGGGTTTAGGGTTTAGGGTTTAGGGTTTAGGGTTTAGGGTTTATCGCATCTGCTGCGACACAGGGGCCCCCGAGCAACTGGGGCCATCTCCCATCAAGAAAGCACTGACCCAAACCCTAGGGGCCCCCACAGCATTGCTGTGGGGCCCCCCTAATTAGGGGGCCCCCTAATAAGGGGGCCCCCTAATAAGGGGGCCCCCTAATTAGGGGCCCCCCTGAATAAGGGGCCCCCCAAATAAGGGGCCCCCCTAATTAGGGGCCCCCCTGAATAAGGGGCCCCCCCTAATTTGGGGCCCCCCTAGTAAGGGCCCCCCTTGATTAGGGGCCCCCCTAGTAAGGGGGCCCCCTAATAAAGGGCCCCTCTAATTAGGGGCCCCTCTTTTGGAGGCCCCCTAATGGAGGCTCCTCTTTTGAAGGCACCTGTTGGGGGCCCCCTAATGGGGGCCCCCCTTTGGGGGCCCCCCTTCAGGGGGTTTCATTGGGGTTCTGGGGGGCCCCTTTTACTAGGGGGCCCCTACAGGGGCTTTTAGGGGTCCCGTTAGGGGCCCCTGTGGGGCCCCACAGCTGGGGCCCCACAGCAGGGGCCCCATGAGGCCTTTAAGGGGCCCCCTGGGGCCTCTTAGGGGGCCCCGCGGGGTCTCCAGGGGGCCCCTTGGGGCCCCTCAGGGGCCCCCCGGGGACTTTGAGGGGCCCCCCGTGAAAGACCTACTTAGGGGGGCCCCCAGAAAGTCTTTTTTATCCTTTTAAATAGCTTTTATTTATTCATTTATTATTTGTCCTTTTTTTGTTATTTTAAAAGAGAATTTTGGAGCCAAAAAGTGCTGCTGTGGGGCCCCAGGGAGTGTGGGGAGCTGTACATACACCCCAGTGCCGCTGGGGGCGCGCATGCAAAACTTTTGGCGGCATTTTTAATTTGAAATATAATTTTAATTATAATTTTATATAATTATAATTTTAATTATAATTATAAAACAATTAAAGTATAATTGTAATTATAAATTAATTAAAATGTAATTGTAATTATTAATAAATTGGAACATACTTACAGATTAACTAAAATATAATTGTAATTATTAATCTAATTATAATTATAAAACTATGCAAATATTATTTTAATTACGAATTAGTAAAAATATAAATATAAGTACAAACATAAATAAAAGCATGCAAGCAATTGCTGTGTATGTGTATTTCAAAAATGTGCAGGTGTATGTACACTTGAAATAAACAAAGTTATGTCCAGTTGAGGCCCTCAAGTGGCACTTTAGGCCGGACGAGCTGTTTCTAGGGTTTAGGGTTTAGGGTTTAGGGTTTAGGGTTTAGGGTTTAGGGTTTAGGGTACGGAAAGCGCGCGTGCGCCGCCCATGGTTGGGATTAAAGGTGAGTGGTTCAATTAACGCACATCCCTAAACCCTAAACCCCAAATGTAAACCCTAAGCCCCAAATGTAATCCCTAAACCCTAAGTGTAAACCCTAAACCCTAAATGGAAAGCCTAAACCCTATGCGAGGATTACAATCTGGGTGTACGTACACCAGCGAGGTGTACGTACACCTCGCTGGACCACAGCAGTTGGGGGTGAGTGTGAACAGGCGATCTGGGCTTTTATTTTTCCGCTTTTGGCTTTCAGCAATTAAAAAAAGACAAAAATAAATAAATAAAATGAAATTAAACGAAGTTTAAAGTTTGTTTTGAGCCTGCTTTCTGCGTCTCGAGCTGTCGATACACCCCAGGAGCCACGAGGACGCTGGTGTAGCCGCTGGACCGCCGCGGCGCGTGTGGACTGAAGGGTTTTTTCGTTCAATTATTATTATTTATTTAATTAATTGAATTAATTTAATTAATATTATTAATTTAATTGTTTTTCCGATTTAAAACTGCAGTTTCCGCCTTCTCCCGCAGGCCCAGCCGCGGTGTACGGCGACCGGTCGATCACGCGGATGCAGAGGCCTCAAGCGGCCAAAAAAGGTTCTTTGAACTTTAAAATTAAAATATTTTCTTCAATTAATTGAAATTAATTAATTATTTTCTTTTAAAACGAAGAAAGAAGCGCAATAAAAACTCGGAAATCAAAAATCCGCAGCAGCAACGCTCGCGAGTCGACCCTGACCGCTTCTGGCCGAGTCGCGCATCGCCCACGGCATGCGCTAGGGTTTAGGGTTTAGGGTTTAGGGTTTAGCGTTTAGGGTTTAGGGTTTAGGGTTTAGGGTTTATGGTTTTGATTTGAGTGCTTGAAGCCGATCTGGCTCCTCTTTTTGTTTTCTTTCTCTCGCGCGTTCGTTTCGCCGCTGTTCGGGGTCCAGCGTTGTTGCTGCTGCCTGCCTTGCTGCTGCTGCTGCTGCTGCTGCTGCTGCTGCTGCTGCTGCAGGAGCATTGTCTTGTGCTGTGCTACAGTGTACATACAGCTGAAAGAAGATGGGGGGTCCCCCCCTGCGTTTGCTGCTTCTGAGTTTTTCTATTTTTTACTTTTCTCTGAGCAGCGCAGCAGCAGCAGATAATGCTTCTGCTGCTGCTGCAGCAGCAGCTAATGCTGCTCCTCCTGCAGCAGCAGCAGAAGCAGCGGATGGAGCGCCTGCAGGAGCAGCAGCAGCAGAAGATGCAGCAGCAGCGGCAGACGAAGCAGCAGCAGCAGCAGCAGCAGGAGATGAAGCAGTAGCAGCAGAAGATGAAGCAGCAGCAGCAGCAGCAGCAGGAGATGAAGCAGTAGCAGCAGAAGGTGAAGCAGCAGCAGCAGCCCCAGACGCTGCAGCAGCTGCTGCAGCAGCACCTCCCCCATCTGCTGCAGCAGCAGCACCTCCCGCTGCTGCAGCTGCAGCAGAAGCACCCACGCCTGCTGCAGCAGCAACAGCAGCACCCCCGGCACCCGCTGCAGCAGCAGCAGCAGCAGCACCCCCACTTGCTGCAGCAGCAGCAGCAGCAGCAGCAGCAAGAAGGCCCTTGAGTGAAGAAGAGCTGGAAGCAGCAGCAGCAGAAATCGAAGAAGAATTGAAGGGTTTAGAGCGGCTAGGGTTTACAAAAACCACCACGCCAGCTCCAGGGTTTTTCAAAGAAGTAGGGTTTTGTTTTTTAATTTATTTTATTTTATTTTATTTTATTTTATTTTATTTTATTTTGTTTAATTTAATTGCCTTTATTTCGTTTTATTTTATTCTATTTCTCTTAATTCTATTTTGTTTTACTCTACTACCATTTATTTTATTCTATTTTATTTTATTTTATTTTGTTTTATTTTATTTTATTTTGTTTTATTTTATTTTATTTTATTTCATTGTATTCCATTGTATTTATTTCATTTTATTTCATTTTATTTCGTTTTATTTCATTTTAGTTTCTATTCTATAAATTGTTTTATTTCAATTTAACATTTTTAATTTTTATTTTATTTATTTTTATTTTTTTCTTGCGTCATATTTTGTTTTTATTTTCTTGTACACTATTTGCTATTTCTTTATTTCCAATTTCTTCTTAACTGTTTTCAATTATTTATTATTAATTATTACCAATTGTTAATTATTAATTATTTATCATTTATTTCTCTGTTTTATTTATTTATTTATTTATTTATTTATTTATTTATTTATTTATTTATTTATTTATTCATTTATTTGTCCATTTATTTATTTTTTTCATTCATTCATTCGTTCATTTATTATTACCACTGCCATTACTATTTATCCATTTATATATATTTATTTACTTATTTGATTTATCAATTTATATTTATTTATTCATTTATGATTATTTATTTATTTATTTACTTATTTTATTTATCAATTTATATTTATTTATTCATTTATGATTATTTATATATTTATTTATTTATTTATTTAAATTTATTTATTTATTTTTGTTTATTTATTTAAATTTATTTATTTATTTTTGTTTATTTTTGCATTTATGTTCAGTTTGGAATGGGACTGAAGAACTTCGCGTTGGCGCCGTTTAGAGCAGCAGCAGAAGTTTTCAGATCTCCTTTGAGAGCAGCAAAAGGGAACAGAGGCAGCATGTTGCTGCTGGCGAGCAAAGTGGGGGATGCAGCAGCAGCAGCAGCAGACGCCAAGAAGGGGTGGACTGAGCTAGCCAGAGATGTCTGGCGGCTAGCCACCATGAACCCCGAAAGGATGCAGCAGGCGAAGCTGCTGCAGCAAACTGCTGCTATAGAAGAAGCAACAGCAGCAAGAAGTTTGCTGCGCAACGACGGCGCTGCAGCAGAGCGCTTCGCCCAGCATCTGCAGCAAACCGAACTGCTGCAGCAGCAGCTGCAGCAGCAGCACCAGCAGCAAAAGTCCGAAGACCAACTCCAAAGAGAATTCGACAGATTGCTAGACAAGGCCAGCTAATGCGCACACACCACACTGCCACAGCTCGCCAGCTAGCTAGCTAGCTAGCCAGCTAGCCAGCTAGCTGGCTAGTTAGCTAGCTGGCTAGTTAGCTAGCTGGTTGCTAGCTAGCTAGCTAGTTGTCGATGAACAGCTAGCTGGCCAGCCAACTCGCCGGCGAGAAGGCCGCCGAGCGGACTAGCTGGCTAGCGAGCCAGCTAGCTAGCTGGCTAGCTAGCCAGCTAGCTAGCTAGCTGCTTAGTTAACTAACTAAGAAGCTAGCTAGCTATCTAGCTAGCTAGCTAGCTAGCTGAGGGTTTGGCTAGCTAGCACTTTCCACATTCACTGCAGTCCGTACAGCGCTGCACTGCAGAGGACCACAGGGGTCCCCAGGGAGGGCCCCAAGGGGCCCCCAGGGGGCCCCCAAAGGGGCCCCAAAGGGCCCCTCTGGGGGCCCCACAAGCAGCCTAAGGGGCCCTTTGAGGGCCCCCTTGGGGGCCCTAGCAGCGTGCCACCAGGCTTTCTTAAGGGACTCTTTGGCCTGTCTTTGGGGGCCCCCCTGGGGGCCCCATGGGGGTCTCTCTGGGGCCTCCCTGGGGCCCCCCGGGGGGCCTCCAGGGGGCCCCGCTGGGGGCCCCCAGGGGGCCCCAAAACTCGAATTTTGGGGCCCCGGCTTGGGGGCCCCTTTTGCAAGAGCAGCAGATGACAAAAGTTTGTTTGCGGAGATAATGTAAACACAATTCATTTTTAATTGCATTAAATGATAAAAAAGCAGAAGTTTAATTCCAGAAAGAGAAAAAATAGATTCCGAGGTGGCTGTCCTGCGTTTGCAGCTCCGGCAAAAAGGTCTTTGGCATTTTTTTGAACTTTTTTCGACACAAGTTGCCAATTTGGGATTTAAATTGAAAATATATTTATAATAATATAAAATGGGAGAAGAGAAATTGCAATTATGCATTTAATGCGGAGAAATGTTTACTTCAGAAAGACAGAAGGCGAAATGCGCACTATTATTCAGGTGTACGTACACCTGCAGAAAAGGATCGGAAAGGCGCTTTTCTTTCGTTTTTGAAATAAAATAAATTAAAAGTGAAATTAAATGCAATTTAATTTCTAAAAGGCAAAAAGGAGCTGGTAAATGGGGCAAAATTTAAGACAATTGGTCAGTTTTTCGCGCTTTTCCGTCAGCATAAACCCCTCCAGTTCACAAATATATTTGTGCACTTGCACTTGTACAAATATATTTAAACAAAGACATAAACAAATACCTTTTTGCATATTTATTGCCAAAAATGGAACATTGGACATAAACGCGCTTATGTATAAAACAAGGGCCCAAACGCCTGAAGGCCTAGGGGCCCCTGGGGGCCCCCAAACCCTAGCTGCTTAAGGGGGCCCCCAAACCCTAGCCTTTCGGTTAACCCCCAAACCCTAGCTAGTAAGAGAGGCCCCTAAACCCTAGCTGCCTGAGGGGCCCCCCCAGGCCCCATTAGGGTCCCTCAGCCCCTGGCTACCTATAGGGGCCCCCAAGTAGTCTTGGGGGGCCCCCCAGCACTCTTTAGGGGCCCCCAGGTAGTCTTGCGGGGCCCCCCATCACTCTTTAGGGGCCCCCAAATAATCTTTGGGGGCCCCTCAGCAATCCCCAGGGGCCCCCCAGCACTCTTTGGGGGCCCCTCAGCAGTCTTCAAGGGCCCCCAAGTAGTCTCTGGGGGCCCCCCAGCACTCTTTGGGGGCCCCCCAGCGCTCTTTAAAAGCCCCAAACAGGGGCCCCCCAATAGTCTGTGGGGCCCCCTCTGACTATATTTCCCTTTAGGGCATTTAGGGCGTTTTTGGGGCCTCAGCTGCCTTAAACTGCCCTTGGGGGCCCCCCAAATGTCATTGGGGGCCCCCTAAGTGTCTATGAGGGTATAAGGGCCCCCATAGAGCTCCCTAGGGGGCCCCTAGTGCTTTACCGGGGCCCCCGGTTCGCTATGGGGGCCCCTAGACCCTCCCTAGGGGCCCCCTGTACCCTATTGTGGGCCATGGGGGCCCCCACGGGGCCCCCTCTTGGGGCCCCCCAGTGCTCCATTGAGTTTTGGGGGCCCCCATAGAGTCTCCTCTGGGGGCCCCCTAGTACCCTCTGGGAATTTGAGGGGCCCCAGTACCCTATAGGGGCCCCCTCTTGGGGGGCCCCCTTCTCTCTCGGGGGGCCCCCTCTCTGTCGGGGGGCCCCCCGAGAGAGAGGGGGGCCCCCAGCAGTCCATGGGGGCCCCCGAGTTTATTAATTTAGTTAAGAGTGAGTTGGGAGGTCCGGGTGGTCAAGGAAGTTCTCGTCTGCTGCTGCGTCATCCCGTTGCTGCTGCTGCTGCTGCTGCTGCTGCTGCTGCTGCTGCTGCTTGTAGGGGGCGACTTCTGTGCCGCTGCAGCAGGCAAGACACACAGGAGGGTTTGGGGGCCCTGAGTGTTTGTTGGAGAAATGAATAAAAGAAATAAATAAATAAATAAATAAATAAATAAATAAATAAATAAATAAATAAATAAATAAATAAATAAAATAAATGAAATAAATGCATTAAATGAAAAGAAGCAAACTCCACTTCGGGTGTATGTACTCCAAAGACAACTTCTCCTGCTCCAGCAGCCGCTCCGCCTTTGGGGTGTATAGGGAGATCACTCGAAAGTTTATATCTTTTGAGGCGCAGCGGCACCTGCACAAACCCGCAGGGTTTAGGGTTTAGGGTTTAGGGTTTAGGGTTTAGGGCTGGGGGGCAGGACGCCCGCTCCCGCGCGCGTCGCAGGCGTTAGGGTTTAGGGTTTAGGGTTTAGGGTTTTCGAGGTGGCCGTCCATTGGCAGCTGGTTTCGAGGGTTTGAATGGGGCTGAAGCCGCAGCTGCAGTTACTAGGGTTTAGGGTTTAGGGTTTAGGGTTTGGTGCCTGGGGCAGCCATCAGGGAGTTGGTTGTTGAGGGTTTGAATGGGTTTGAAGCCGCAGCTGCAGCACCTAGCGCCTAGGGTGAGGGTTTAGGGTTATCCCAAATCCCAATAGGGTTTAGGGTTTAGGGCCTGGGGCAGCCATCAGGGAGTTGGTTGTTGAGGGTTTGAATGGGTTTGAAGCCGCAGCTGCAGCACCTAGCGCCTAGGGTGA